CACTACCACTACCACTACCACCAGCAGCAGCAGCGCAACCACCGTCAGCACCCATAGTTCTCCGCAGCGAGGTCTCCGCTGCCTCAGCCCGGCAGGGGTTACCACCACCCCACCGCCCTCAGTCCCAAACCAATCTTCGAAGCACGACAAGAAAGCGGCAGGAATGTACCACCACCCCTCCGGGAACATCAGGGGTCCTCTCTTGGCGGGCTCGTTTCGTTATTTGCATCGCCAATCCGTTTTCATGAAGTCTGCCTCCCCTCTGAACATGGCCAGCTCGGGACTGTAGGAATAACGTCAATCGAAAGACTGTGCACCTGGCCAGTGCAGGAGCTGCAAACAGAAAATATCTCAACAGAAACCGCAATTACATCTCGCACCTGTGCCAAGCCGCGCTGAAGCCACATCCGCCCAGTTTGCCGTGTGAATTGTGGCTCCACCCCTGTCCATGCCGAAAGCCGCAGAGCCTGAGTTCGGGGTTGCTTCTAAGTACGTCTGGGCCTTGGCTCAGTGACCGCCGGCGTTTTTGCGTTGCAGAGGGCTTCCAGCTGGGCTTCAGAAAGACTTTGCCGGAAAAGACTCCAATCCGCCGTGTGCTCCGACTTACCGAGAGGTCCCGGCAACCAGTGATTGAGAAGTTGCTGCCCCTGACATTTTGCCAGTCACTCTCCATGAGCATGATCGCAATGGATGCCTTCCTTCGGCAAGTGGGGCTCTCAAATTGCGCCCTGTTGGTTCTTCTGTGAAGGCGGTCCCTCGTCTGAAGTTTAGACACCGTGGCAGTTGGGCAATGGCCTCAACTCCAAAGGGAAGAGCAGCTTGCTTCAGCTTTCCAGCTGGAGCCTCAGCCGTTCTCACGTTTCCTTTCGTCTTGTTAGGGTGTCCTTTTCTGAGCGGTAGAGAATCGGCGGAGTCAGGACTGTCCGGTGGTGGAGAGCTTTGATTAAGTGAGGTCCACTCGGCATCATGGCCAGGCACCTCGAGGCCTGCTGGCCTTTAGTGCATGCGTTGTGGACACAAAGATCCATGAATCCCGTAGCCTTGGCGTGCTCAAGTATAAAGCTATGGCACATATGCCGGGCTGTAGCTGGCACTGACTTAGCTGAGCCATGGCACAGCTGCAGCCCAAGACGCACGCAGAATGCACAAGTATCAACACTGTGACCTCTCCAGGCCCGTGTTTACGAGATGTCGCGGCATATTCAGCCTGGCCACCTCGACCAGGGGCTTTCTTTGTCTTTCTGCACGCGACCCGAATGTCTCTTCAAAGCTTGCAAGCATACACAGCAAGCTTGGCCGTCCCGGACAGCACCGCATAAGGCCGCAAGACTCGGGCCCAAGAAGGCCATCAGCTTTGCTCTGGAGTCCTGCATGCAGAGTGCGTGATGTGCGACAGCGAGAGCGAAAGAGAGCGAGAGCGAAAGACAAGAGAGAGGGAGCGAGAAGGCGAAGGGTGCCGCGAAAGCTGCCCCTGCAGCAGCCCCCGCCGGACCCAGCGGGGCCGGCCAGGCCCAGGGTCCTCGCCTGAGTCGCCTGAGGCTGAGAGGTGTCTTGCCCAGGTCTTCAACATCTACGCAGACCGCCCGGACGAGGAAATCAAGCCAGACAGCTGGTGTTTTGGGCGGAGTTCAGTTTGATAAGTGTGTTTTCGATCGGAATGCACAGGAATGGACAGGAATGAAAGGACTCGTCCTGCGTCCAGCCGTGCCAGGTATCCAAAATGGCTCTGGAACCTAGAAACGCCCCCGAAGCATTACGGGGAGCCTGCGCTGCAACCATGGAGAGTGGCTTGCCTTCCTTTCGTTCTCGCCCTCGCCTTGTTCCCCACCAGGATCTGACGCTCATGTTCGTGCATGGGATCGATATTGAGGAGGTGCTCCCAAATGGAAGAAGTTGGTCCAGAGTTCAACTTGAGACTCGAGAAACAGGCCACCCTGAGCGACTACCAGCGCTTTTTGCGGCTGCATCGCAAGATGATCATCAAGATCAACAACCTTCGGCTCAAGCGAAGCAAGCGAAGGCACCCTGGCGGCAGGATGCAAGAATGCAAGAATGGCACGGCTTGTGCCAGGCCCGGCCTCAAGATCGCGTAAGTGAGAGAGCGCTTCTTACTGCTTGAGCACTTCAGAAAAGTGGAGCGCTTCGGCGGTGTTCCTTCCGGATGCGGCAAGACTGGCAAAAGTGCGCCGAAGCGTTGCCAGCATGTCCGGGTCAGACTCACCTCGATTAGGGACCAGCATGGGAGATGGTATGTTCATGTTCACGATTCATTCGACTCTGTGCTGGGTGAAAGCTGCTAACATGCTTTTCCAAGTCAATTTCTGGCAATTCATGTTAAGGCTAGCAGCCAGAGGAACGCCTTCAATTTGGTCGGTGGCTGCCTCAACTGGCTTTGTGGAATCGAAGCGAACTTGCGGGCTGCGAGCCACCCAGGAAGCACTGCGATTGTGGCCCTCCTTGATAAAACAGGCCAGACCTCATTTAGGCCTCTGTAAGTCTTCGGGCTTCAGTCTTTCGGTGCAGGTGGCAAGCGCAGCGTCACCGTTGCAAACTGTGGCGACTCTCGGGCTGTGCTCTGCCGCAACGGCACAGTTTCCGACCCAGACCGCGGGAACTTCCAGTGTCGCTCTGTACTCTGAGTCTCCGAGGCCGTAGAACTTTCCGAGGACGTGCGCATGAGAGCCAACAGCGTCCGAGTATTTGGGGCTGACAGCTAGTCAAGAATCAGGTGAGATCTCCATTGGTGCGCAGAGATATTCAAGAAGCAGCTGAAAAAGTCATGCAGGACCACAAGCCTGAGCTGCACAGCGAAGAGAAGCGCATCAGGCGGCGGTTGCGACCTTTTGTAACGACCTACACCGGGGCCAGGGTAAGACACTCGCCCAAGCAGTCAGCACACAATGCTTCTGGCTCTGCGTAAGACTTGGATCTAAGATTCTACGCCATTTGCCACTGTTTTTCTTTCCGGATTCCGCCCTCTCCATTATTTCGCCTGCCGGTGCAGCACCTGCAGCCAGGCAAGCAGGTGGCTCCGTGAAGTTGATCGGGCCCTGTCATCGCATAGACGGGCCGCGTGCCAAGGCAAAGTCAACTACTGTGCTCTATGCGATTCTCTGCGAATCTGAGGTGGGGGCTTAACCTCTCCAGGGCCCTTGGCGACTTTCATTACAAGGCCAAAGAACTGCGGCTCGCCAGAAGGCCAAGCAGCGAATCCCATCACAGGCACGGCCTGACTTGAGCGCGGAACAGCAAAAGGTCATCGCTGTGCCGGAGGCCCCCAACAGACCCGCCCATCAGACCCTGTCAGATGATTCGTGTTTGCCCTTGGCAACTTGGAGATACGGACGGTGGAACTTCACAGTGACGATGAGTTTCTTGCGGGAGTCTCAAAGTGCGGCGAGACTCGGAGTGACCAGCTTCGCCTTCTCACTTTGCACTCGCTGTACTCTTGAAGGTTCTGGCTTGCGACGGCTGTTTCGAGCTCCATACTTCCCAGGCCTCCAATGCATGGGGTTCGCAAGCTCTTGTTGTACTCTGAGGGTAGACTCCTGACTGGTTTCAGAAAGTGGTGGACATCGTCAGAGTTGCGCTGAGGGCAGGCCAAACCGTGATGCAGGCGGGTCCGTGTGAGTTGCGCTGAGGGCAGATCAAGCTCTCGGTCACATCTCTCGACCTTCCAAGGCCGCTGAAGAGCTTGTCGACCAAAGCTGTAGCCCAAACCTGGTCAAAACCAGGGGCAAGGGCTTCGATCTCAGAAGGCATCTTCATGTCGTGCGATTCTCAGAAGTGAAGAAGTGCCGCCGCCACTCGCATCATGTAAGGTGGCGACAACTGCAGCGCCATTGTCATCAAGCTTTAGTGAGGCCTTAGCCATGTTGACCCTGGTTTCCACATTGGCAAGATCGTTTTTCCAAGGCTTGCTGGTTTCATGAGTGTACATATGTACAGAGAAGAGCTCAAAAAAGCAGCTCGAAGCACATGGAAAGCACAACCACCCCACTTCGAACGTTCTTCGATTTCCTATTGCCTGTTCACCGAGCCGTACTCGTCTAAGCAATCTGGGGTGTCGTGCAGCCGCAGATGGTCATTCTGCAGTAGCTCTGCGAAATGCTGTAAATGATTTGGTCGGAAAGTTGCTCTGAGACAATACAGGTGCCGGGCGTCCAAAGTAAAAAAGGCTGTTTAGCGGCTGTTTGCTCTCTGTTCATCTGGCCGGCTTTACACCCAGCAGATATGCGATAGCCACAGCAGTTTGAACAGATGTTGTTGTGGGGCAACTGGCAACGAGTCCTGGCGCGCACATGACCACAGAGTCCGAGCCGTGCCACTTGCCGGCGCAGATGTTGAACGCGGCAGCTCAGTATTCGGGCTGTTGAGTTACACCAACTCTAAACAGTGTGCAGCCATGGTGCCACCATGCTGTATGTGCCGCTATGGTGAGATGCTCAGCGTGCAAGGACAGAGCACAGTGGTGCAGCGACCACGAGATGGGGTCATTCCCAAAAATCGAAGACAAGACCCGACAAACCCGTAATCGCCTGCCCAGCAAAATGAGTTTTCTGACGAAGGCTGCTGGGATTTGAGTTGGTCTTTGCGGTGCTTGCTGCCTTCTCCTTAGATTCCATCTAGTGGCTTCTGCTGACTTGGGTTCGAGCACAGCCTCGCTCCAGGACAGCACCTGCCAATCGAAGCATCACGAGGCCAAATCATCTCGAGTTGAAAGATTGAGGCTATCGCTTGATCTCTGCTCAAGGATTGGCCATCTGTGCATCGACGATTGTTGAGACTTTTGGATGGGCAGGCCAGATGCCAAAAGACCAGGACCCGTAAATGAACCCGCTGAAGATTTCGGGTTCCTGTTTTAGTAGATGTGTCGTGGTTCTACTACAATTAGCTCTGCCGTGTGTGTATTCGCTGCCTGCGAAATCTGCGTGAGGGCGGGACGGAAACCTTGGCTGACGAGCTGGACAGAGCAGCATCGTCATTTGCCGAAAGGCGGTGGTTTTCTTCCCCTCTGCTTTTGCACCAAGCCGCGGTTTGCAGAGTTCCACAGGGCTGTCCCTCGGTTGGATGGCACGCTCGACACGGACTGCATTCCCGGGCGAGTTTCCCTCGACCTCCTCCTGCTCTTAAGCCAGCAGAATGGCTACGGCCTGAGATGAGGCAGAAAGCCTGCTGAACGGAGCCAACCCTCGGAATGCAAGGTCTGACGGATGCCCACGAGATTTGGAAGGACTCTCAGATGATTGATGTTTTACGAAGTCTGGAAGTAGAACGGGTGTGGGGGCCTGAAGATGCCTGAAGCATGAAGTGCATAAGCTAGTTGAGGAAGGTGGCCTGTTGGACTCCAAGAGAGACCTTCTGGCGGGATGGCCAGCAGTCGTCGTGCCCTCGATGCTTCGAATCCCATCCTTTTTCAGGGAGACGCTCTGTGAGGCTCGAAGCGGCTGGCCCGTTTTCCGGCTGCTTCGTCTCTTACAGAACCGGGCGCAGGCGCGGCAGGCTTCCCAGTGGGAGTCCTGTGCGGCCCGGGGGCCCGCAGTGCGGCCCGCAGTTTGCGAAGGCGCATGCAGCAGCACCACCCATGACGGGATGCCACGAGGACAGGATTGCGTTTGGCATGTGAATCTTTCGAAGTTGGCCGGCAACATGTGCGAAACTGCCTCATGACAGGATGAGGATGAATTTGCGGCGACTATGATGAAGCATGTGCGACATCGCAAACCTCAGGATGAGGTTCGATTGATGAGATCTGCTGTTAGCACAATACCTGTATCTGCAGGCCTTGCTTGCCGCCAGTGCTATGTTTGTCCTGAGCTCACGGAGCAGCCGCCACTCGGCAAAACGCCCGTGGTAGGAAGCCAGAGCGGGGTCTGAGCCGTCAGAGAGTCACAAAGTCTTCAGTCTTCTGGCTCCTTGGGATCCTCTCCAACTTTCAGGATGCCCGCTCTCAGTTGCAGCGGCATACCTGTCCAGTGCCTGGGTCGCGAGCACAGGCTAATTCTTTCTAAAACTGCAAAACTGGATTGCTCCCAATGTAGCCCGAAGCTTCACGAGGCTCGATTTCCAGTGTTCGACGAGGAGACCGAGGACGGTTGAATTGTGGTCGTGGCCGTGGATTGATCGTGAACTCGTGGGGCTTCCCAAGCGAGACCATTGTGTCTGGGCTTGCAAGTTTCATCCGCAGTTCCGCTGGGCAGATGTGGACATATTGACATTTCCACAGGATCCGGTGCAGTGCTGCGGAGTGTCCATAACGCAGTTTGGCCTGTGAGGATCTTCTCGGCTTGGCCGAGATGAATATGCGCAACATCAGCTGCAGCCTCAAAATGGTGAATGTGGCATTCTTGACGATGCACCATGCTGGCTGGTGCATCAGCTGGGCAGAGCATTGAACTAGGGACGCACTTGCACTGATTCAGACGACACAAGATTTCATAAGTCTTTGGCAGGCTTGGCTAGACTTCTGACGACGCAGCACCCGTTGCTGGACATGCTGGATGACGTCGCCAGCTCCTACCAGGCACCTGTCAAACCAGCCGGCCACAGCGATGAATTAGCCTGCAGAGGATTCGGGGGCTGGCTAAAAGAAGCGATATCCAAGACGGGATAGGGATCAAACATAACTTAAACTAGGTGGATCTACGAATGTTTAAATCTGGGCCTAAAAACATGTAAAAAACATGTATTTTTGAGCAGAAACATGGGAAGGAGGAAGAGCGGAAGGAAGGAGCAAGGAAGGCAGGAAGGAAGAACAGAAGGTAGACAAGAAGGAAGGAAAGAAAGGACGGGAGGAAGGAAGGAAGGAAGGAAGACGGAGGACGGAGGACGGAGGAAGGAAGAGAAGAACAAACAAAAGAAGGAAGACAAGAAGGAAGAAGAGGGAATGAAGTAAGGAAGAAAGGGAGAAGGGAGGCTAAAAAGACTTTAGCTTCTCTGCTTCCTGGTTTCTTGGCTTTTTCGGCTTCTTGGCTTCCTGGCTTCTCGGTTTCCTGGCTTCTCGTTTTTGCGACCTCGTGGCTGCTTAGCATCTGGCTTGTCGATATGACATGTATACGTATACGCATCGTATATAATGATAAAGACAAATACAATGAAATAACGAAGGTCAGAATGAGAGAGAGAAAGCAGGAGCTTACTTGCTGTAGTTGTTTTGTTTTGGGGCTTTCGTGACTTGCAATGATGTTATGGCTGTGATTCCGTTTCCATTCCCGTCACGTGTCACGCGAGACCAGCCACACCAGTGGCTGTGTGCTGGACGCACAAAAGGGGAGGGCCACGATGCTTGCCCTGAGAGGAGGGAGGAAGAGAGAGAGAGAG